CCTCATGGATGTCTACTTCAGACAATATCTAGCACTCAGAGGAAAGAATTAACAGTAGTTCAAGGAGAACACTGATATGGAAGTTGGGTCTGCCAATGTGTGTCATTTCACATGGAGTTCTTTGAAACGAAGTTACATTCTAACTAGACAACTTTTTTTTTAATTAAAAGAGAAATATATAAACCATGCTGAAGTTTTGTCTGTTTTAAATCCTTTATCTTGCAATAACCAGACATGTGTTTGTAGGGAGAAAAATACATTCTTTCTTTTTAAAATGTATTTTTCAAGTATTCATAAAAATATTGATTATATGTTTACAATTTTTGCCTACCCTAACTTTCCCTACTTACATTAGTCCTTTTGTTCTTGAAGACAGTTGCAAATATATTTTTACAAGTGAGGGGAAACATACATTTTTTAGTATGATTAGGGAGAAAATATTTTCATATTTGGGTTCCCACCCCATTTCAAAATTGTTTAAATACTTTAATGTTTTTGTTTTTCATATATATATATAATCTGTATTGAAAAAAATCTAGTTAATAATACTATAAACTATTTTATAAAACAGCTATTTCATCCAGCTATATAGTGATCCTCCCACAGTTCAATCATTTTCCTAATACTTGCTTATGCACATTTTTTCACAATGATTTCTGTGTGTCTTCTGATAGTGTTTGCTTACAAGGAAGGCATTGCATATAGTAATAATTTTTGCAAGTGTTCCTTCAGCTACTTTAACAAAGTGTTTCTTAGCTGCTGTGGGGCCTTTTTAAAATTGGTATTAAAGAAAATCCTTTAAGTTTATAAACTATCACTAAGGTATAGGATTGAGATCGCGTCATTGTGATTATTTTTGAGAACATTGAAGATACTACACTGTCTTCCTGATCTGGTTTCTAGGATTTATATGGCTGGCTAATTTGAGGTAGATGTTTACTACCATTGTCTAATTTTCTAAAGTACAATATGCACATAAAGTGAGGGTTCTCATCATGATTGATTTGTAACTATATTTCACATGATTACTTTACTTACTTTCATCTTGTGGAGAGAATGAATTAGAGTTAGATTTTTGTTATTGTTACTATGTAATAATGGAAGAAAGAATCAGAGTTATGAAGAGATATAACAGGCATCCATTTTTTTTTGTTCTCTTGTGCTCACATTATTGAAATTATCCCTTTATCTTCAATATGTTGTCTGTATAGGAATTATATAGAGTTGTGTCTTTATTTTCTAGGGTTTATTTGGTTAAAACTAGACAAAATGATCAGTAAATATACCTAACATAAACTGTAGTGTGTTGCAGGACACATAAGGTGAATAAATATTCATTGTGAACATTGCACTTCTCCCTTAAGTAACTTCATGCACCATTCAAATCTACGGATCCAGGGAGGAATCTAGTGTGTCTTCTAGGTTACATGTTAGTAAATCTTATTTTCTTTAATCTTTAGAATGACTCTGATTTGTCAACCCCAGTGGGTCCTTTATATAATCTTTACACTCTGGAAACATCAGTTGAAGATTGTGTTCACAATTAACAAATATGAGACAGTGAAAATACTAGTTATGGTTTCTTATAGTAAAATGTGTGAACCTGGATGAAGGCCTCTGATTGGTATATTGAAAAAAAGATATAATGAGGAAGCTGTGTGCCAAATTTACTAATACTCACTTAATATTATGTGTTTGCTTTTGCTTTTACCTTCATTCTATATTCAGAAATACTATCTTCCCACTTTATTCTTTTGACTTTGTTTTTCTACCTGAGCTACTATACGTTATATTGAATGTTTTGTTTTATTTTGTTGAAAGAAGCTAAAATTATGGAGTAGAAAATAAAGTTCTGGATATAGGGATGTGTACCTGAGAAGTTGGAGCAGAAGAATTATGATTTTTAGGCTACTCGGCTACATAGCAAAATCCTGTATCAATAAAACAGAATACAACCAAACTCAAACTTATCTACCAACCAAACAACTTTGAAAATTGTTTATTTAAATTATAAATAAATACATATAAATATATAATATGTTAAATGTATAAATAAATAAACATAACATTTCATTAATTTGAAAACATAAATCATCAAAAATAACTATATCTGTTGTTGGTACTGGTGTATTTGAAACACTACAGTGCTATTACTTCATTTTTCTTAAAGGTGCATATCTCCTTAGCCTAGGATTTTGGAGGTAAAAGGAAGGCAAGAACACCAGAGCAGGATGAGAAAGCATGAATGAAAGGTTCAATGAAATAAAATTCAGCTGCTACAACTTCTAAAATTCTCGTCTGATTCTATTTTACATGTTCCCTCCTTAATAACTTGAGTGGTATAGTGTTTGAGGTTACGTGAAAAGTCAGTTTTATAGAATGTGCCGTAAGTGTATGAGGCTCTGGGTTCAAGCCCCAGTACCAAAATAAATGAAATGAACACACACACACACACACACACACACACACACACACACAATCAAATGTTTCATGAGGTAAAGGAATGTTTCTAGAGACAGATAACTGTATGAGATGTGAGAACAGGAAAGATATGATGTTTGTAATTATGGCTTAATTGAAAACTATTCTAAGTTTGGACAATTATTTAGACTTCAGCATCATTTTTTACACTACATTCCTCATATAATGTGGATACATTAAAGAAATATGAAATATGCTTAAAACTTGTTTTGTGTTTTTACTGTAGAAAAATTCTGTGTTTAGAAGTAGTTTCATATTCAATTATGTTGCTTAGAGTTAATATTGAGTTACGAGTATTGCTCTATTTAGTTTTATTATTGTATTATGAAGCTGGAGTTAATGATTTGGAAGTATCAGCTGCATAATTAGTAGTATGTTTTTATTTTTATAGGAATAAAATGAGTCATTATAGACTCTTCTGTTCATATGAATGCTACCCATTCCTAACTAATGTATGCAGCCATTTCATAAGTGAAAATATGCTTAAGATTCTGAGACAACTTTCAGTATTTAAAGAAAGTTCCCAAATTTTGATTCTTTAATAGCAAGAAAGGAGGCTCAAAAATATTCAGTAAGTGTTTACTGTATACCAGGGACCAGGATCTTTCTTTTTTAAGATTGCAGAGATCAGTTCCTGCTTTTAGTTGTTTAAGAGCAATATTTCTGAACCTCTGAGTTGTGACCCTTTTGGGAGTTACATATCAGATATCCTGCCTGTGAGATATTTTCATTACGATTCGTAACAACAGCAAAATTGAACTTATGAAGTATCAATGAAATAATTTTATAGTGGGGGTCATCACAATGTGAGGAAGTGTATTAAACTTCTGTACTGCTAGGAAGGTTGAGAACCACTTTCTTAGAGTTTTAGAGACATAGTTCTATGACAAAGTTTTAATATAAGTAATATGGAAGAATAGGATGAAGGTTTCCATTTAACAGTGGGGCATTGTGAGAAATTTTGTAGCAAGCTTAGTAGGTGTGCATTGAGTTAAAGTGTAAGGACCAGTCAGAATCAGATTTAGTGGGAGGCAGCACATCACTGAGTGAGAAGTGTAAAACACAGTGGGAAGCATGAAATGACATATATATGTAACAGTCACCACATCATAAAATCTAAGGTCAAGTGAATAGATGTATGCTATTTCAAGATGAAGGCAAAGCCTCAGAATATTTGAGAGTGGGAGTGATAGATTCTAAGTGATGTTACCTGAACATAAATTGAAGCTGGCTATATATTTTGGCCTGAGAGAATTCAGCCTTCAAAAAATATTTGTTTGATTCTTAAGGTAATTTTCTTCAATCCAGCTAATATCTTCTTTAGTTTGACAGTTGAAGTGCTTCAGTATCTCATCTTTTTGAGCATAAGAATACCTGTTCTGGATTTTTAAACATTGGTTAAGTATTGAGAGATACTAGTTTGTTCTTCAATCAAGATGGTTGCAGCAACAGGCTCCAGATGGCTTTATAGAAATTGCTTGCAGAGCTACATAGTGAAATATAGTCCGATTAAGGAGGTGTTGCCACTCCAGAACCAATTGGTCTGTCTAAGTTAAAAAAAAAATGTGGCTGCCGCCATCAGTTGCTTATCTTATCTATGTCATCTCTGTTGCCCCCAACCCCATACCAACAAGATGGATGGCCTGTTCAAGACATATTTTTTCACATAGTTTATTTCTGAATCTATACTTTTTATAAATGCCTTTCATTGGTAAAGACTAAGCCACAGGTCTGTACTGAAATTATATGTAAGGGATATAGACAAATGCAGTTTTTATAAACTAATTTTTAATGTGAAACTGACAATGTGTGGATACATTAAACTGTAGAAGTCATGCCTAAGTGACATCGGGCAACCAAAAATGACAATTGACCACAGGAATCTTTTAACTACTCTTTGGCTGTTAGATTTTTTTATCATTCTCCATAGTTCTCTCTATATATCTCAATATATAATTTAGTTATATTACCTTTTTTTTCTTTGTAATATATAGCAATTCTCTGAGACTTTTTCTTTGGTATATATATATATATATATATATATATATATATATATATATATATATTTAATATATCATATTAAATTTAATATATCATATTAAATTTAATATATCATGTTAAATTTGTCTATCATTTGTTTTCGTGTGTAAAAGTAGTCCTTGGAAGCATGGTCTAAAGAGAAATTTTGTGTGTGTATGTGTGTGTGTGTGTGTGTGTGTGTGCATGTGTGTATTGCTGTCGAGATAAATGAATTGCTTTTCAAGGACTGTATAATACATATCTGTTATAAACTACCAAAGTGTTCTGTAGCCTAGCTTACAAATATTTTTCTTTCCAGTGTTTAGCTAAATAGAAATATATGTTAGAATATTTGTGAAATACATACAAAAGATTTTATCTCAAGTGTGAAATAATGAAGTGTCTAAAAAAATTGTTGTTAAATATTAATTACATTAATCACTTATGAAGCAATTAATCAGTAATCCATCCATCCTTACCGTATATGTTCTTTCTAACAGGAGGATATGAACCTTAATGAAGAAAAGAAGGCTCCTTTGCGAGACAAGGATTTTTCCACTAAGCGTGAGATGGTTGTCCAGTATATTTCTGCTACTGCCAAATCCGTAAGTAGAGATTCTTCCCAGGCTTGAAAGTTTAAAAAAACCTCAGCTTTTTACATACTTGCCTCAGAGCAATCATATTTCCAATTTAGGTATATATATATATATTACATATTTTGCATATATATCTCAGTACTGAACCATTCATTAGACATAAGAGATCCATTATTGTAAACAAGAGAGCAATATAGACATCTCTTGACAGAATTCAATGAATTTGAGGGCAGAGATTTTATGCCCTTATTAAAGTTGGCAGTGGCTTGCTGTCATTGTGCTTACTATACACATTGCTACATGAGATTTCCAGAATTGAAGGGAGAAAATGCAAACAGCATAGCTAACTTTAAACTTATCTTGAAGCATCTAATTTTTGGAATTCTTTTCATATTTGGCTTTGGTTTGAATGCAAACTGTTAGCTGACTTATATTTGGTGTGGTAAAGCTCACCTTAATGTAAAAGAAAATATATCCCAGGAACTTTAATCAAATCTGTATAAATTTCAAAGCCTAAACACATGATTCTTTGAAAGACTTTATTGTCTACAAGAAAAGCTGCTTTAATGGATTTAATTAATTCATTTTTGTTATCCTTCTAAGGTTCTTTGAAAAGTAACCTTCAGATTTGAATTTTTTTGTAGAAAGAATATACTTTTGATATGGCAAAAGATATATTTTGTATTTCTGAAAAGAGCTTTCAATGGCAAATTTCATGAAATCACTGTATGTATCTGTATATATACATATTTTCATAATATTCATGCACAATTTATATGTAGGTATATGACTTTATTATCATTTGTACACATGCATTTAAAACAAGTATTTTCAGTTTAAACCACTGACCACTGAAGAAAATATTCTTTACTGCAAAAGTATATTCTAACATTATTTGACTATCTCATTCATACTTTTTTGGACTGTATTTTGAATAGCAACTGCTGAATTTTCCAATCGCATTGATTCTATATTGTACTTTAGGCAAGCAAAATCTGAATGTTGAACTATTTAAACATAATGCATTGCAGCTCTGCCAGAGCAGAGTTAACAGCATGTTTTTTAATTTAGTTCTGGTATCCAAAGGCAGAAATATGTTTCAAGTGATAAGTGAAATTTGCCATGAGCATCGTTTTCAATAGAATTAGGTGATGCATAGGGTTTTTACTTTGAAATTCTGATGAATCTCTTCTCATTTTTGCACTCAAGTTATTGTTCCCAGTAAAAAGCTTTAGGAAATGTAGGGCATATATATTCAGTGTTGGTTTTTAAATGCCTAAGGCAAGTATACTGGCAAATCTATATAACTAGATCTGAGTACAAAGTGGAGATAATATATGACTAATCATGGGGTGCTTTAATGATGGGGTTTGCTAGCATCTCTGGCTTGTTTTTTGATATTGGTTGAGTAAGTGTGACCGAGTATAATGAAGATTATATGATGTTCTCATTCCTTGACCTTTGGATAATTACTTATTATCTATGCACGACATATTTTAATTGATGTTCATACTGTGTTCTCTTCAACTGATGAAAGAAATGCACAGTTTTAAATCTTATACTCAGCTTTGTATTCAAATGAAAGAAAATTTGGCTGAGGCAGTAGCATAGCATTAAGTGCACCTGCCTAACATATTAAGGCTGTGGCTTTTGTCTATGGCACTTGAGATGGATTAGGAGATATAGATAGAGAAAGAGGGAGAAAGGGAAGAGGATAGACAAGAGCTTATTTTAACTGCTTCATTCAAATGATACAAATGGAGTATTTTAAGACATAAAATTTTTCCATTTCAAGTAGCCTGAAAATTAGTTCTACTGTTTCGATGGCCCTTATTTGTCTCATTTAGCGTACTTGTTAGCTCTTCTTCTTTCACCAAAAATTCCGAGACTGTAGATTTTCCCTATTATTTTTTATGAGCCAAATATTTTGATGGAAGAGAGCCGGCTGACAGGCATGTTTTGAAGCTTTCTCACCTTGGAGAAACAGTAATTAGTACTGTTTTCTATCAATAAAACTATGAAAATTGTTTATTTAATTTCGTTTTAAAGATAAAAGGGCTGCCATTTACTGAGTAACAGTATTCCATACAAGACAATACTTTTACATGTTCATCATCATGACAGTCAATTTTGCACCAATTATCACTGAATGTGTGACTGTTGGCCTGTGTGAAGCTTAGGTTCCTGTCCTGCTGTAGGACTTTCATTAGGTGTTGAATATGCTCTGCCTGCCCTGTACATTTTTACTTTGTCATTATATATTGATATACTCATTAATAATGTTTCCTCATTTAATGAAGATAGGATGGTACCTATCATGTTATGAAAAGGCTTTGTAAGTAATCAGTGTTCTTATCTGAAAGTAAAACCAGTATTAACGTTGAAAAATATTCCATATAGCCACATAGAAGAGTTAGGAGGACTGTAGTTAAATTTTAGTGCAAAATTTTGTTTTCCCCTTTAACTAACTGCTTTGGTTCTTTTATATGTATTTTAACAATGAAAAAGTGAGCTCTGAGAAAGAGCTCTTAAAGGGTCATTAAGAGATGATGATGCAACACACAGCTATGTGTCAGAACCTGTTTCTAAAACAAACAAGTCTGATTTTACATCATTAATTTTGTTACAATTAGTATTGGTCCAGAGGATATTAAGAAAGCCACGAGTTGATGTTATAAAACTATTGTTTGATTCTCCACACATACTTAATGTAATGTCCAATAATAGTCAGCTATATGAGTATTAAAGGAATAGGAGGTTGAGTAACTCCGTGTTGAGTGAAATTTTAATATGTATGTGGAGAGCCTAGTCTGCATTTATTGTTCTGAGAGCCAAATGCTTGCTGTTGTAGGAGGGGTGAGTGTAGACCTGACGTATGCGAGTTGGCATGCATAGATTATTTAGTTACAAATAACAAAGAAGTTTGTATAGTTTCAAAGTGCCATGAAGAAATGAAAACAAGCTGTGTGAGTATTGTTAAAGCTCCTCTACTAAATAATGACCCAGCGCACTATGCTGGTGATTTAGAGATCTTGCATATATACCTAATAGCATATGCAGACACTCATGAGGATAACTTATTCATCTCCCATTAGTCAGCCACATGTCCTTCTCCTTATGCCAATATGAAGAAAACAGCTAACTTCTAATTTTAATGAGTACTTTTGAAATTGAGACTTTAGAACATGTCTGATTAGAATTTGGACAACATGTGAGGCATTGAGCAGTATGGCTGTTTCAAAAAAAATCTCAATAGTGTATAACAAAATAGTTACATCAATTATATCTACAGATTTGTAGACTTAACTAATATAGGAAGTAGTTGAAAGTTGTAGTATACTTGACTGTGACTGTTTTTTTTTCCAATTATTAAATAATTTTTTCTCAGGTCCTTTTCATCCATGGGGTGGATGTGGTAAAAGATATGACCAAAGTATTTTCTCCATGCTTCTATTGACTAATGAATCTAATGTATTTCTGTATGTGATTTAGCTAAATGAAATCCTTTTCAATCCAAATGCATCATTAAAAGCTCTTCAATGGGTCACGTTTTAGTTGTTTCATGTATTATGAACCTGACTTAATTGTTAGTACAGACTCTCATTCTTTGTTTTTGTTCTCATGTCTGTGATAAAGAAAGAAGGGACAAATATAACCTCTGTGTTGGGGGGAAGTAATTTAGGTCAATAGCATATCTTTCATTTCAGAAATACATATAATACAAAATGGCTTTATCAATTATATGTTGTAGTACCAAAGAAGATTTTATTCATCTAAATAATTGCTGCTTGTAAACAGGGTGTTGAATGATTTCTTTTAAAAGAATTTACTTCTCCTTTTGGAGAGTCTGAAATTATTTGGATTAGTGAATTATTTCTCTTTTTGGATTCTTATGAAATCATTTACTTGGAAGCTGCCTTTATCTTTTTGTATCTTGTGATATCTTGCTAAGCTAGGATACTTACTGGGCTTTCAGTTAAATTTGATGTTTGTTTTAAAACACTAGCTGAAAAATAGAACACATCTTGCTATTAACTGTCATCAGATGAATGGTATTCAATGGTGAATTAGCTATTTTTGGTACACTGCTTGATATCCTAGTGTGGGAAACAGATAACAGTGATTTGACTTATATTTGGATTTTGACATAGATTATGTTTATGTTAAGTTTCCTGTTGTTTTCTTAAACAGAATCCTGCCTTGTAAATTGTCTTATCTCTTGAAATTATGAACTGTTTTCTCTGTATTAATATGTGCATTTTTATGGATAAAATATCTTGCTTGTCCTCACATCATATAGAAAACTAATTTCGTACTTGTAGCAGTAGGGTGATGGTAATGCATGAAAACCAAATCATATTAATTATTTCTCCTTAGTCTTTAGACTATAGATGTTGAAGTGTGACACACATTAATATTTGTAATTTTGCTTTAATCTCAGCATCTCAAGCATTAAAAATGTTGGCAGAGCAACCTAGTCACTAATTTACTAAACAATTTTTGCTTAAGCTTCTGATTACTAATATTATTGCTGTTTGTTTTTTTTTTTTCCGCATCATAACCATTCTTCGTTGACCACTGTATGCAGATAGTTGGAACTAAAGTTATGGTAAGTACAAGAGCTGTGCTTTACCTTTGACACTAAATTTTTTAGGGGAGGAATTTGTGTCTTTGGTTTGGTGTTTCATTTGCTGTATATTCTTACAAAGTGTTAAGGTAAATATTGAGATCAAGTAATTAAAATTTAGCTATGTTAAGCAGTTTCTTATAGTTTTGGAACATGTTTAAGAAGTTTTTTTTTTTTAATGTCCCCCCTGCCTTGAGAATTATGTTGGATAACTTGGGTAGAATTGTGTGTTACATGCCAGTCTCTCAGGATGGGGGCAGGGTCCTAAAACATTGGTCTTCTGTTTATACAAATTTTTGTCATGATGTCTTACTTTGATTTTGGTGCTATATGTGATAGAAACTGAGGCAATGCAGTTATGTGGTTAGGTGACCTAAAGACCTGATTTTGTTGGTAATGCCTCTGAGTTTTGGGGAGTAATGTTTCCTTGGGCTTCAGATATATGTAGATGATTTGAAATCATCAGCTTAACTTATATTTTAAGGTTCTTTTTGATCCTACCACTTAAAGATTTTATACTTAAGGTATTACATTTTTAATACACCCCTGTAACAAGCCAGGCATTGCCTGCATTGTAATTCAAAGCTATTTGTAATTACTTTCGCTCCTTGAGTATGTATCATTTATTCGGAGAATAGATTTTGAAACATCTTTAAAGTCACAGAGAAATGAAGTATTTAGCATAGGAAATGTGTTTAATATTTACTTTGGTTTTGAAAATTCTCTTCTTTTTTTCCTCCTTTCCTTTCTTTCAGTGGGAGATGTTTCACATGTTTGTTAGAACATGTTACTTCCTTCCACCCAGTTGGCTTCCAATTTCCCTTTATAATCTCACCTTGGCTTCCTTTAAATATTATATATATGATACATGTGTAGATGTCAGAGGGCATCTTGCACAAATCACTTTTCTCTTTCCATCAAGGGATTTTAACTCAGGTTATCAAGCCTGGGGCCCAGTACCTTTACCCACTAAGCCATCTCTCTGATCTTATGCTTCCTTTAAGAAAGCATACTCAGCTGTGTCCCTGGTTTTGTCTGTATACTTGGCAGTGCCTAAAGAAATATTACTTGAATCCTTCTAAATTAAGCATATCATACATTTTAATTAAGGTATTCTTTTCTTCTTTGGTAGCCCAGCAAGTACTTAAGTATCAGTCTTGATTAACATTCATGTTGCAGGTGAAGCTGTCCCAGGTAATTCCATCCATCCCATAGCATCTTTTCTTTAACATTTTAGAATAAATCTTTTATGTGCCTCCTTTTGCCAATCAATATAACTTTCGCTCTCAAGAAACTAGGTCTAAAGGGGATGAAGATAGATGACAACAGAGAGGTATATAGAATGGAGAGAGGACCCAAAAAGGCTATATTGTCAGTGTTGCCAAGTGAGAGACCAGCAACTGTGTGTGGTTGCTTGAGTGTTTTGAAAGGTGATGTTTTTTGGTAAGTGCATTGTATAGATTCAGAGTATATCTTGTTTCATGGCCATTTTCTGATTTTTCATCTGCTTCTCTCATTTGAGCTGTCAATTTCTGGTACAAAGATGAGTAAACTTAAGGAATCCCTTCTACAGGAAATGAGGAAGGTTTAATTTAGAGGTAGGTGGGATGCCTTATGCAAATTTTTTGTTCGTATTTTATTTTGCAGCTGAAGAGAGAGATGTACAAGCAATGTGTAAAATCACCCCAGTTATACAACAGATACGAAAGGGCTTATTGTGTCATTGGCACATTAATCTTCAAAAGGTGGGAGGAATATTTTTACTGATAAAATAAGCAGGTAGAAATTTCGTAGAGCTGCTGTAGACAGCAGAATTCTCAAATAACCAATTTATGTATTGTGGTTACTTAGAGATTGTAGCATTAGTTAAAAAACAAGGGCTGGAAGAGGCAGTGAAATTGGAAACATGGAATATATAATGAAGTAGGTCTGCCTGGCCTTTTTCCTTTTGTTTCTGTAACGCTGATTGCAAGTTGAAATAATAGCATGTGAGGCTCTGCTGCTGATTTCTTTCTTTCTTTCTTTCTTTTTCTTTCTTTCTTTCTTTCTTTCTTTCTTTCTTTCTTTCTTTCTTTCTCTCTTTCTCTCTTTCTCTCTTTCTCTCTTTCTCTCTTTCTCTCTTTCT